TCAAGCCTTTTCAGCAGGGTCATCCAGCCAAGGGTGAAGCCCCTGTTGCATGCCTACTTCACCTGCTTTTTGTAGTCTACTGTAATATCGGCCACCCCCTCAGCATATGCCTTCTCGTCAGCGGCCTTGACTTCGGCCTCTTTGGTGGCCAGGGCGTCTTAAAGCTCCTTTTGGGCCTCGGCCATTTTGTCCTCAGCCTCTTTCAGCTGGGCTTGAAGGACTTTGTTTATCGCCTCAGCAGCACCAACCTTTTCTTCGGCATCGTCCTTTTTTTTGATAGCGACCTGAGCCTAATCCTCCAAGGTCTTCATCTTTGACTGCAAGTTTTTATTAGTTTTCTGAAGACTGGAGACCTCCCTCTTCTTCTCAGCCAGCTTCTCCCGGTTCTAGAAAGATTGAACTGAGAAGGAATGCGCATGCTGAACGGCCTGAAAATGAACAAGACAAAAGATATTAGAAAAATTTCTAAGTACAAGAAAGAAAGAACAATCTCCTAATAAAGAGACTTACCTGAACAGAGTGCTGGAGCATCAGAGCATAGTTCTCATATTCGCTCACCTCGGCGTTTCGGTCGAGATCGCTGGGAAGGAGCAGAGCGGTACTAAGGGCAACGGCGACATGAATGTCGTCGGCACTGTCGCTAGCCATAACTGGTTTATCCTCCAGTGTGATTTTGGGGGCCCAGGGGGCATCATGCTTTTGAGACCCCGTGGTCGTTGCAGAAGATGACCTCGGCCTTTTTGATCTGATGGATTCAGATGGATGTGTTTCAGCAGATCTTTTTTCGGGGACAGAGGCAGTCTTTTCACTTTCAGCCAATTTGGAAATTGGCAAGGTGTCCTCAATATCAACCTGAGTCACCTTTGCCTTTGGTTGAGCCTTTTTGATTCTTTTTTGCTTTAGTGGAGGCTGGGTTTGCGTTGGCTGAGCATCAACATCAGAAGGGATGCTGGTTAAGAGGTCTTTTACAACTGCTTTCTGGCGACCCATCTGGGCAGGAAAAACAGTTCGTCGCCGATGTTGGCGCTGGGATATTGGGATCAGATAAGGAGCCGAGGTTGACGGCTGCTCGGCTGGATCAGAGGTTGATCCTTGGTCTGTCCGAGAAGTAGACGCGACTTGTGGAGTTGTGGCAGAATGTGGGGAAAGGCTTTTCTTCTTCTTTTTTAGGATGTCGGGAAGAGCCGACTTATAAGTGGGGATGAAGTTGAGAAGCAGAGGGGCCTTCCGCTTGTGAACTGGCAAATTCAGTAGTTTTTTCAAGTCTTTGCTGGGAAAGAAAGACTGACGGAAGCCCTTTGGTGGCTGAGGAAGAGCTGCAAGAAAAACAGAGATTAGAAACAAATAGAGTATCGAAGACTTTAAAACAAACAAGTAATATGGACACAGGGCTCTTACCATTGCCCTTTACAAAGACTGATCGAGGAAGAGGGTAGAGATGGAGGTCCTTGTTTGGAACGAATTTCCAGTTCCCCGAGGTAATGAAGTAATCATCTCCAGCTCCCTTGTTGGAGTCTGGGAGGTCGGCTACGATTTTGTATTCTGTGGACCTCGGCTTAAGGTAGTAAATATAGCTCGTATCTTTTTTGAGGCCACACATGGTGTAGCAATATTGGATGTCGGCTAAGGTAATCCTAGCATTTTCATGTTTCGCTAAGACAATTATACCGTTGATAACTCGATAGGAATTGATGGCAAGTTGCATAGGGTTCAACTTATAGTAATGAAGTATTTCACGAAAAATGGTGTTCAGTGGGAACCGAAGTCCGCACTCAATAAAGGCCACTACAGAGAGGGGCATAGAATCAGTGGTGGGCATGATGGAGTCGTCATCCCCAGCCAACCTCAGATGGATGTCGGCAGGGATGGAAAACTCTCGCCTAAAGTATTCTAATTTTGTCGAGGTGTCTACCCTATGCTTCCACATACCCATGATATCGGCTTAACTGAACGGGTTAGATTTCAGAAGGGTGTGTTCCTAAAGGGCTTTATGGACCTCGGCTACAGCTAGAAGATACACAAAATCTTTGGAGAATCGTTTCGATTTTCCCTAACAATTGTTTTGAGTTCTACAAACAAAATCCCAAGCCTAGATCTATGGAAACAGAGATTGAAGGCACAAATCTGGAAAACAGAAAAGCAAGAACGCGTTTCAGAATCAAGAACAAAGATGGACTATCAAGCACATTGCAAATACGAAGGGTAATAGGCCAAGAATGGTGGCAGAAATTAACAGGAGTGTGAACAGTGTATATTCAAGAAGATGATTTGGGTAAAAACAGAATCATGAAGCAAACAAGTTCAAATATATGGTGGAATACAAAATGCAAGATGAAATATCAGAAATATGAACAAGATTGCAAAGACAGCAGGTACAACAGTAAAAATCAGTAAGGTAACAAGAGACTAAGACCGAGAGGAACGGTGACTTACCAGAACAAAGGAAGCTGGTGTTGAGTTCGCCGAAGTCAAGCGAACGACGGCAACGGAAAAAGAGTGGCAAGAGTCTCGCCGGAAGAGGTGAACAACAACGGTGGCAGAGCTTGAAAGCTTGAAAGAATGGAAGATTTGAAAAAACTAGAGAGAGAGAGCCTCAGAAACGATAGGAAAAAGTGAAAAGATGGAAGAGGGGGAAACAAGTTTTGTCAAAACTTGAAACAGCGGCAAAAAAAGGCCATTAATGCGCCTGGAACAACGAGTGCGTCAGACGGCGCATAAAAGCGCGAAACGACTTGCAAAACGCGTACCGAGTACGATCTAGTAAGAGAATGACACGTGGCTGAAACAGTTGAATTGTGATGCATGACAGCTCATACGCGTGAAGAATCTCTTGGAATTCTTGATCTTTAAGAAGACATGTCAGCCTATAGTGATGAACTCAGCTTAAGCCGATGTACTGGCAAGAAGTACCGATATAGGTTCCATCACCTCAGAATGCCGAGGTAATAGAACCTAGGGGGCAGTTGTGGGAATATATTTTCTGAGTCCCAACACGTGGCCAAGGTGATGCCGACGTGTCAACCGAGGTGCCATGTGACCAGGTTATGACGTCGAGGTGATCTCGGCAAGGCCGGGGTTATCTTCGAGGATATCGGAATCCGAGATAAGCGGATAAGGGACAAGAGTCCTAGAATGGGAGAAGACTTCAGTTTGGGTAAAGATAAGACTCTTAGAGAGTTTATCCTAATCTTACCGGGAGTCCAAGATTAGCAGTAATCCTGAGTCCATTAGAGCTAGGCTCCTATTGGGACTAGGACTGAGTTAACTATAAAATAAAGGCACTCCCATGGGTCTAAGTACGCAAATGATATTTTGAACAGTGAATTTAGCATTATTGATTATTTTTGAGAGATATACTGACTTGATCGTCGGAGTGCCCCCGGGTGGACGAACCACCGCCAGAATCTTCTCTTTCTGTTGCAGGTCAGCCAGGTGTCATCTATTCTGTCAGTATTCTCCAGCTGAATAACTAAGTTGGCAGTGTGATCGGAAAATCATTCACACACCTTCTTTTGCACTATCGACCCAAAGTGGTAAAGCCATCACACGTATGTTCCACAGGTCTGTCACCAATGTTGGCTCACTGGTGTCCACTTACAAGACAACTGTGGTGGCTCCACCAGGACTTGAGGTTGGGGTTGAGCCGAGTGTCCTTACATTCAAAGCTCTAGGGCAAAAGCAATGCTTCATCATGACAATCAGTGGCACCATAGAAAAAATTGTGCTACCAGGTTCGTTGGTGTGGGATGATGGGGTGTATCAAGTGAGGAGCCCCACAGTCGCTTCTTCTTATTTAAGTTCTAATTAATATGTTGGCACTATAGTTCTCTACAATAATATCAATATGTTGTTTTTCACAAAATGAAAAAAGAAATAAATGGTGTCAACCGCACAAGTAATTCATCGGTTAAAGGAGCAAACCATGGTGCAAATGGTAAAATCAAATGTTTTGGATTCAACTTTCACTAGTGTTTTTAGACCTAACTGATACATTGTTTCGTGAGTTCATAACAATAAATAAATAAAGGCAAATTCCATTTTTAAGTCTAATTTTAGTTTACTCATTTTCTATAAATTAGACATTAAAATTAATAAATTTGTAGCAAGTGTCAATCTTGTGAAATATACACATAAAAAAATTTTCAAATTAAAACAATAAGAATTGAAGCAAAATTTGTATTAAACTGTTTCTTGTATTTTTTGTTTATAACTTATATAAATCAGAAATAACTTAAATAAATTGGTTATTTTTTACCAGATAAAACTTAATTTGTTGCATTTTAATTAAAATAAATGAGATGTCGAATCATTTTTCACTTATTGAATTAATAAAAGTACGCCAATCACATGGCATTCCTCCTTCCTACTATAAAATGGCCTTAGACCATTCTGCTATTAACTCATAGGGCTGCTTTCTGAACAGCTTTAGGAATCAGGTGGGCCGTTTGGCTTGCTGCTACCCATTACGGTTGGCCTTTGGGCTTGCCTATTTTTGGGAGCTCCTTTGGACCTACCCAGTTTTCGTGGGCTTTTGGGCCCGTTTAGATTTGGTGGGCCTCTGGCCGACTAGTTTTGGTCAGCGTCTGGGGCAAATTACATATACACCCCTCGAGGTTTGGCTAAATTACAAATACCCCCCTGAGGTTTGAGAAATTACGAATTCCCCCCTGAATGCTATATTTGCATAAGAAATTAGGGGGTAATTTGTTATGAAATATAAACCTCAGGGGTAAATTGTTATGAAAATACAAACCTCAGGGGGCGGGATGTAATTTCTGAAACCTCAGGGAGGTATCTGTAATTTAACCAAACCTGGAGGGGTGTATATGTAATTTGCCCTAAATAATAAACAATAAAAAAAATTAAATTATTTCAAAAACTTTTCAATATAAAAAATAATTTTCAAATATAAAAAAAAATAAAAAATAAAAAATAAAAAAACCCAAATTTATAAGCGCATACGCATTATAAAAATTTTCAATACAGAAAAAAAACTTTTACATTATAAAGATCTTTTTTCATTTCTTGTTATGGTATCAGAGCCCTAGTAGCTCTCACAAGCAAGGTTCATCAATGGCTGTTTCACCATCTTCTTCAACCTCTATACCACCAAATCTTAGTTTACTCATCTCAAATTTCAATTCTCTAGTAATAGTAAAGCTTGATTCCTTCAATTTTCTTATCTAGAAAAATCAGTTTCAAAATGTGCTTAGAGCCACAGATTTGCTTGATTTTGTAATTGGAATGATTCTATGTCCAAAACCTCAGATCCTTGATGCATCTGGAACAGTAATTGCTAATCCAGAATTTACGAAGTGGAAAATCATAGATACACATTTGTTAAGTTGCATTACTACCACTCTCTCCTCCCTTGTGTTTTCAACTGTTCTCCATAACCAACATTGTGCTCAAGTATGGAGTGCTCTAGAGAAGAGATTTACCTCACTCTCTCGATCTCATATTCATCAATTACAGAATAAAATCCAATCAGTCTCAAAGAAAGGACTCTAAATGGAGGAGTATTTGAATCGGATCATAGATATTGCAAATCAACTCATTCTTGCCTCCGCCGCAGTTGAAGATGAAGATCCGGTTTTGTTAACACTCAATAGATTACTAGATGAGTACGAGGCATTGAAAACTACCATACAAGCTAGAGTAGAGGCCATTACTATGGAGGACTTGTGTTCATTGCTATGTTCTGAAGCAATATATGTGGAAAATAAAACTAAACATGCTCTTATCGATGATTTGCCAATGGCTTGTGCTGCAACTAAAGGATCGGAGTGTAGTTCTGCTTCATATCCTCAGTATACTAGAGGATACTCATGGAAATTCAGGTAGATATCAATTTCATGGTACTAGAAAAGGAAGAGATAGAGCTAATGGAAGGTATACCAATCACAGTTTCAGACGTAGGTATGGAGGAAATTCAGGGAGATATGAAAGTAATTCTTCACATACTAGTTGTCAAATTTGTGAAGGTCATAATCATAGTGCTCTTGATTGCTAGTTTCGAATGAATCCAGTCTATCGGCCTTCTCAGGCTTCTTCTTCATCTCACTTTCAGTCCTTTCCTAATTTTGTACCACACAATCTAGGGCTTACTCTGTTACTGCAAATCAATCTTCTTCTAATCAGTCCTTTGCTCTATTTGAATCACCTACTCCTTGGTACATAGACTCAGCAGCTACTAATCATATCACAAATGATTTGGCTAATCTCCAACTCTATTAAACTTACCAAGGCTCAGATCAAGTCATTATTGGTAATGGTCAAGTTGTTCCCATTCAACACATTGGTAAGGGATTGCTACCTACTCCTCAATACTCTTTTTGTCTCAATAATCTTCTTCATGTGCCTCATATTTCCTCTAATCTCTTATCTGTTCATCAACTAACTAAGGATAATAACTGTTTTGTTACTTTTGATTCTAACTCATTTGTGGTTTAGGACAAGCATACGAACAAGGTTATGCATCAAGGACCTAATATTCATGGACTCTATCACTTTGCTCTTTCATCCTCTTCCATGATTGCTTAGGCTCATGTTACTCAGGCACAATCACAAGTCTCTGTGTCTATTTGTCATCAAAGACTTGGTCACTCTTCTACTTTAAAACTTTATCATATTGTTCAACACTTGCCTGCTACATTTCACAATAAAGATTGTATTTCATTAGCTTGCACTTCTTGTAGTGTTGCTAAGATACATAGGCTGCCTTTCAAATTGTCTACTTCTACTGTTAATAAACCCTTTTCTCTTGTGTATAGTGATGTTTGGGGACCATTTCATGCTTATTTGCTTGGATATAAATACTATCTCTTGTTTGTTGACGATTTCACAAGGTTTATTTGGATTTATCCTATTTATGTTAAGTGTGAAATCTTTTCCACTTTTCTTGTGTTTAAAGCCTATGTTGAAAAACAATTTGACACATTCTTGAAAATTCTAAGGACTGATAATGGGACTGAGTTTGTTAATCATCAAATGGATAGTTATCTTGCTCAAAATGGTATTATTCATCATCTCACTTGTCCTTACACTCTAGAACAAAATGGCATAGCTGAAAGGAAACATCAACACATTGTTGAAACTGCCATTGTATTAATGTATTAGTCTTGCGTGCCTCTTGCATACTGGTTTGAAGCTCTAGTTACGGCCATGTTTCTTATAAATAAAATGCCTAGTTTGTCTCTTCACAATAAATCTCCTTTTCAGCTACTCTTCCATGTACTGGTTTGAAGCTCTAGTTACAGCCATGTTTCTTATAAATAAAATGCCTAGTTTGTCTCTTCACAATAAATCTCCTTTTCAGCTACTCTTCCATGTTATACCAGATTATGTATTTTTTTAAGGTGTTTGGTTGCCAATGTTTTCTTTGGCTTCGGCCTTATATTGATCATAAACTTCAACCAAGATCTTCTCCTTGTGTTTTCTTAGGCTATCATCCTTCAACTAAAGGATACAGGTGTTTGGATCCCTCAAATGGAAAAATTTATTTGTCAAGACATGTCTTGTTCAATGAGTCTTGCTTCCCATTTGCTACTTATACACCTAGTTCTCCTACTGTACCTACTCTTACATTCTTTTTCTGGTCTAATTCTCAGTCTGCAGTCTCTCCATCACCTATACTTGCCTCTTGTCCATCACTCTCTCCAATAGTCCCTATATCTGACCATTCTATAGCACCTGTTGCTTCTTCCTCTCAACTTGTAATTTCTGTTCCTGCGGTACCTGACTTAGCTACAGTTCCTCCTTCTTCTTATATTCCTATTGAGTCTATCTCTATTCACCTACCATTCCTTCATTTCACTTTTCTTTAATTAACACTCATCCTATGACTGCTAGGTCTAAAGCCTCTACCAGTTCCTTCTTGTCATCTTACTCACACTCCTCCAGTGGATCTTTCTTATACTGAGCCTCAGACTGCTACTCAAGCTTTAACCTCTCATCATTGGGTTAATGCCATGAATGAAGAATTTCAAGCTTTACATAAACAAGGCACTTGGACTCTTGTTCCTCCCCCTTCTACCAATCCACCATTGGTTGTAAGTGGGTGTTTCATATTAAAAAGAATTTTGATGGCACCATTGTTAGATACAAGGCTAGGTTAGTTGCTAAGGGTTATTTGCAACAAAAATGTGAGACCCCTAACTTTTGTAAACCTTATTAGATCCCAAAATTTTGAGTTACTATAACAAAGCCCTTAATTCGTTGATTGCTCGCAAATTAAACCCTAGAGTCGAAAACGCATCACGGATGAAACCATACAAACCCTAATCGACCCTGGAAGCTTAGAAATCATTTATAACACTCTAATATTAATTATTTAACTCTCAAATTTTAGATTAATTGCTCTAAACCCTAACTTCCGGTTTTTACAATCTTCATTCAGTTATTTGCCTTTAAATTCAAAACAAGATAATACAAACCGAATTATTTTTCCAAAACACTAATTTATTAACTCTTCACTTGGAATATATATTTTAATTGAGCCCAAGCCCTCCCATTTTTATTAAATCATAAATTGACCTCAAACAAGTACCATTATATATTTATATATACACTTGTACCCTAAAATCTTTTTTTAACATTATGTTTTACAATTTTCAAGATTTGTACACAAAATAAATAGGGAAATCTCCCCAAATCTCGAGGACATGACTAGCCATCATCATTATACTTTAGTACAAACAAATCCCTTGAATCTTGGAGCAATAATGACTTTGGTACCAATAAAGATTTGCTATGAGTATTTAAATTAGCCCTAAACCTAACTAGATCATAAGTAAATACATAAATAAGGTTTCAATACATGAGTTTAATTCCAAGCCCTCATTTCTTTTATTAATTTCAAGAATTACCCCAAAAAAATAGTACTATTAGTACCATCAATCAATTGAAATCTATATATATATATATACATACATTGAGAAGTGTGCCCCTACTACCTAAATTGATAAAAAAGAATAAATAAATAAAAAATAGCCCCTTCACCCTTCCTTATGGCTAGCCTTCCTAGGAGAAAGTGAGAAACCAATTTCCAAGAACCACCATCATGAAATTCTAGAAAACACAACCTAGTACCCTAGACCTAGGATACAATTCTCAATGCTAGTTACTTTTCAACTAAGAGCCAACTAGATGATGCCTAATTCTATGATTTAACACCTTAATCACTCCTATCCCGTTAGATTCCAAGCAAAACTCTAAACTTTCCATCCATTTTCAACTAGAGGGCCTTTTTGTCTTTTTACACCAAATTGTCTATAAATACCCACACCCCCCTAGCTTGCAAACACACACAACACACTCACTCACACACATATTTCGGTTAGAGAGAGGGAGGAGAGCAAGGAAGAGAAGTCTAGAGGAGAAGAAGGAGGAAGGAGAGAACTTCTTGTGCAAAGCTTAGTAGGTAAGCCACAACACAACCTTCTCTTTCATTTTCCTTTTTCAAATACATGTTCTAAGGGTTCTAAATAATATTTTCAGATCTGCTATTGATGAGTTACTTGTGTTAAAAATGCTAAAAGTTGAGTATTGATTCCATCTCTCTTGTATTTTCCCCATTTTGGCACAAAACCATCTTTTTGTACCAATCTCTCAAACTTTCCAAAGGCACACCTTCAAGAAAACTTTCTGAGTTAAATATATGTTAGTTAGCATGTTTTCTTCACAAAATAAACAAAAACTTTCCTTAGGTGGAACCCTTTTTCTCATAAATCTTCTTGTTTTGGACATTCCACCTTAGAATCTGTTTTTGCAGCCCACTTCCAGAAATTCTAGAAAAATATATAAAATTATTCTAGACCTCTATTTTATGTCAAAACCTTCGTTAAGGAGTTAGTTTTCAACTAAAATTGGTTTCATTGAAAAACATTAAGCGGTTTCCAAGAAAATCAAATTTTCGTAACGGTCGACAAATCTGGACAGATTCTGGACAGCACTGGAATATTTTCTAAATAACTTAAAATCTGGAAAAGCAATCCCATTTTCGAAAAATGTTCTAGAAACTAGATCAAATTCTCTACGAACTATAGGAAGATCGAGTCCGGTGAGGGATCTAAAATAGTCCTTTCATTTTAATCTTTATGTGATATTAAAACTGGAAATTTTGTTATGCATGAATGTTTTATGCCTTTGTATTCATGAAAATGTTTAATTGATTATGATCATATCTTGGCATGATATTGTATGTGTTATGTTATGTTCTTCAACTTCTTTACCTTATTGATGCATGCTTGTGTGGATATTTTATCTTGTTAAGTTGTCTAACCTTGATGTAAAACATTTAACTCAACGGGAAACCTAATTGGGAGGGTATTGGGTTTTCGAACACTTGAGTAATGAAAAAGATGAAAATATGTGATATATGGATTTTTGGGATGCGTTCCCTATTTGAAAGTTAAAGTCTTGCGCAAGCAGTTGTCGCGTAAACCCTGGAATGGAACAGACGTATTCGGACTCCTTGCGACGGTTTGAATGGTGAGATAAGGTTGGGTCTAGATGGGACATTCAGGATGATAAAACTTTTTCTGGAAGGATGAGGTTGGATTCAGGAGATAAAACTTTTTCTTTTCGCTGTCCCTTTTAAGGCCCTGCGGTTGGCGCTACGCGGTATATAATCGTTGGTAGGCATCCGAGGTTAGTTCTGCAACAAAGCAGCAAAAGGGGGAGTTCCGAATAGTCCGGTGTCCAATTCTTGTGGTTGGGAGGATGAAATCTCTTTGGGGGATTCTTAGAATACTAACCACTAACATTATAACCTTGTTATCTATTTGAATGACATGCTCATTTTCTCTTCTATTACTATTCTTGGCTTGGATATCATGCTCTACTACTTGTTTGCCATAAATGTGATGGTGTATTGGATTGGGAAAAAGGGACGGGGTGTGTGTGTGTTTACTGGGCATTCAAAGCTCACGACGTGTCATGCCAGGTGCCGAAGAGGAGCTTATAGCTGGAGACGACAAACCTGAAACCTTTGAAGACTTTTGGCTATCTTAGGAAAGTTAGAAATTCCTTTCGATATTTTGTATGACTCATATGAAGATTTAAGTTTTCTCTTGGGATATAATGTAATGGATCAAGCTTTTGAAATTAATGATATTCGTGGTTGTTATGTACTTATATTTTAATATTTATACGTATACACCTTATCGTTGCTTATGAGACCTTGTGTCAATACCTTTTAAGATCTGTCAAAAGGGTAGTGCGCTGCTTAAGAAAGCCGAACTTAGAAGGGAGGCTAATTTGACTCCTCCGGCGATCTGGGATCTTACTTGGTTATTGACCGTAGGACTCATTAGTGACTCTCCCTTGATTGCAACCAATAGTGTAGGTTCGGGGCGTCACAAAAAAGGTGTGAATTATGATAAAACTTTTAGTCTTGTTGCTAAGCAACCCACTATCTGAATTTTCTTGTGTCTTGCTCTTCAACATTTGTGGCCTCTCAAGCAGTTGGACATATCCAATTCCTTCTTACATGGAAAATTGGATGAAGAAGTTTATATGGTGCAACCTCAGGGCTTTGTTGATTCCAACTTTACTCATCATGTGTGCAAACTGAACAAAGCCTTGTATGGCCTCAAGCAATCTCCTAGGGCTTGGTATTCAACCTTCTTCTCTTTCTTACTTACTCAAGCTCTCAGTCATAGCTATTCTAATCCTTCTTTCTTTGTCAAGAAGACATCTAGTAGTATCACTATTCTTCTCATCTGTGTAGATGATATTTTGCTTACTGGAAGTGATCCTAGTTTGATTCAAGTCTTACTTGCTCAGATGCATGTGGCATTTTCCATGAAGGAACTAGGAGATGTCTCCTATTTTTTGGGGATCTCAGTCCAATCCCATTCCACTGGTTATTTTTATCTCAGCAAAAGTATGCTCAAGAGCTGCTACATAAAGCTAGCATGGATCATTGTAAGCCCTACTCCACAACAATAACTCTTAAATCTTCTGCTGTTTTTTCCTCCACTGATGAGCTTCCTTATGCTCAGCCTTGCTTTTATAGAAGCTTAGTTGGTGCATTACAGTACTTAACCATTATTAGGCCTGGCATTGGCTTTACAGTCAATCAGGCTTGTCAACATATTCAAGCTCCAACCAATGCCCATTTTGCACTAGTTAAACACCTGCTGAGATATATTCAAGGAACTGTTTCTCATGGTCTTATTTTTAGACAAGGGTCCTATGATCTTCATGCTTTCACTAATTCCAATTAGGTAGGGGAGTGCAAGGACAGAAGGTCCACTTCTAGGTTTTGCATTTATCTAGGCCCTAATTTTATCTCTTGGTCTGCCAAGAAGCAACCCACAGTCTCAAGATCTTCCACTGAAGCTGAATATAGGTCTATGGCTCACACTACAGTAGAAATTTGTTGGATTCAAACAATTGCTCAAAGATTTATCCGTTCCTTCTTCCTCGGTGCCTGTGTTATGATGACAATATATCTGCCATGGCCTTAGCTTCCAATCCAGTGTTCCATTCTAAGTCCAAACACATAGAAGTGGACTATCATTTCATACGAGAAAGAGTGGTTTCTAAGAAAATCTCTTTCGCTTATATTGCTACTAATGATCAGATTACTGATATATTTACTAAGCCCCTCACTTCTTTTCGGTTTCTTTATCTCAAATCCAAACTTTTGGTGCTACCCAACCCCATCATCTTGAGGGGGGGATGATAAGACTATGAAGCCATTGTAGCATTATCAACAATTGAAGCCTCAGTCTCAACAGTTGAAGCCTTAGCTTAGTGTATCAAGTATAGCTGTAAATAGATATAAATATCAAAGTTGTAGTAGTGGTGGTTAGGATGGATGAGTTAGAGTTTGTTATAACAAACTCCTAGCCAACTCTTGTATCAAGTATAAATAGGTGTATGATTGATTGTAACATCTATCAAAAATAAAAGATTTTTTTCTCATTTCTTGTTAAAAAGGTATAATTTATTAAAATAAGGATTGTATATTTTTTTATCATATTGTACACAATTGTATTATTTAATTTTCACTTAGTATTTTTAAAAGGAGATAATATATTTTTTGTTCATTATAATGAGAGTATGTCTTAGTGATGCATGCACACTTCAACATTTTTTTGTCATTTGTTTCGTAATTGACACAGCACATTTACAGTGTGTTGCGTCACAAGATAAACACACTATAATATGAAAATCTAGGCTTCGCCAAAATGTTATAAAAAATGCTACTGTTTCAAAAAGAATCATTCAGATTTTTTTGGGTATTATAATTTTGTGGTGAACATTAAATTGGTATTGCGTGGGTCTAGGTATAAAATTAATCTGAGTTATAAATTGATATTTCTAAATAAAATTCAAAATAAAAATTTCGGGATTATAACATTAGTGAAACCTTATTATTGTTTCAATATAGCTTAAGCTTACTACACTTTGTTACTTTTATTTATTTATATACAGAATCAAACACTGAATATATATATATATATATATATGAAATGATATTATTTATTTATTTATTTAGTGGGATAAAAAAAATTACAAAATACTTTGGCGTAAGTGATTCTATAATGGAGTGTAGATGAAAAGTCATGGGCTGTGTTTGTATAAAAACAAATTTTCTGTACCACTATGACATAATTCCTCCTTAATTTTTTTTTTCGACCAGCAAAAACCTTTATTGATAACCACAAAGTAATACAAGGTGACACGAAGTGATACATCAATCAAGAGAGGGGTTAGTGCTAAAGCATCATACCCAATGTGTTAATCCCAACTAGGTTGGCACTCATACACGAGCTCAATCATATGCTAGCACAAAACCAAGGTTGATAAGTCACCAACCAAAACAAAGCCACTAAAAACAAACTGAAAAATGCACCTAAGCAGCACACTGCAATTGCATATGATAGCAAAAACTAGCAACAACAGAAACAGGACTACACACACAGCAGCAATATGACTTGACAACAAAAAACCAACATAGGGCTTCCCAATAAAGGCCACTGCAATTCCACAGTAGTGCCAGAGCAATAACAAAGGCATGCACCCTTCACCTCAAGCAATGTCTGACCTGTTGAAGATTATTAACAAGATTATGCACTGTGTAATACACGCTACGTAAACTGCTCTTAGCCCAAAACACTATCCTTGTCTTCACAATGTCCTCCAAATCGGCAAAATTAGAATGTCCACAATTAAACAATATATCATTCCTCAACTTCCAAATTGACCAAAATAATACTAATGGCACAATTTTCCACACCTTCATCTCTGTTTTCTTAAACGAAGCCCCTGCCCACCAATGTAACAAAGCCTCAACAGACCCAGGGATTACCCACCACAAATCCCACCAGCTTATAATTCGAGACCAGACTCTCCAAATCAGTGGGCAATGTAATAGAACATGGTTTACACTTTCAATTTACTTTTTATAGAAGACACACTGTGTGCTAGCATTTGCACCCAACACCCTAATTTTCTGCAGGAAATCTGAAGTTTTCACCCTTTCTCTCCACGCTAACCAGCTAAAGAATTGGATTTTGGGAGGGGTTACATTTTGTCACAACTCTTTCATGACATCCAACTTCGGTCCTTTTGCTCCTTGGAACCATTTCCAAACTGATTGCACTGAAAATTTTCCTGATCGATCAACCTCCCACCTCAAATAGTCATCTAGATTCCCCTTGATTATAGGTACTACATTCAGCCACTCGCATAACCTGTTAACCTCCACTTCTTCACATGCTCGCAGCCCTCTTCTAAATACCAAATCCCATTCCCTTGTCCTCTCCCTACTTAGTTTGTATTGCATCAAAGAGCCTTCATTTTCCACAGATAAACTAAACAATCTTGGAAACTCCTTACAGAGCTGACAACTATTCCACCACATATCAGTCTAGAAGTGAATTCTTTCTCCATTTCCCACCTTTATATTTTCATTTTCCAAATAAAAGTCAAGCACCTGAGGGTTATCCTTCGCAATACTTAGAATACCCTGCCAAAGTGGAGACAAATTTCCTACTTTACCAACATCAAGCCACCACCCACCACCATATCTCCCATATTTGCTGCAGATTACAGCCCTCCACAAGGCTTTATCTTCAACACCATATCCCCACCACCATTTTAGTAATAAACAAACATTCATTTCACTGATACTTCTAATCCCTAACCCTCCTTGATTTTTAGGTTTAGTCAGGTCCTGCCATCTCACCAAATGTACTTTCCTCCTAACATCACTGCTTTCCCAGAGAAACATAGCCTGCAATTTGTAAATTGTCTTCACTACACCCTTAGACATCTTAAATATAGATATAATATATGATGGTAAACAAGCCACAACTGACTTAATCGAAGTTAGTCTTCATGCAAAAGACAACCCCTTGATCTTCCAAAGAGATAGCCTCTTCCTTACTCTATCAACCACAGGCTGCCATGTGGACTTCCTCCTAGGATTGGCTCCTAAAGGTAAGCCCAGATACATTAAAGGCAGCTTCTTGTTTTGACAATTTAACTCACCTGCAAAAGCCTTCACCTCACTATCAGAGATGTTCACTCCACACACTACACTTTTGTGAAAGTTTATCTTTAAGCTAGACATCACTTCAAAGAACCTTAATATCCTTTTGATCAATAGCAGCTCCTTTGTTTCGGCCTCGTAGAAAATTATTGTGTCGTCTACAAACTGCAAATGTGAGATACTCATGCCATTAGACCCCACCGAGGCTCCTTTAACCAACCCCAACATCTTAGCTCTATTTAGCAGCAAATTTAACCCCTCAACCACAAGATTGAATAAGAAGGGTGAGAGTGGATCAACCTGATTTAACCCTCTTTGCTGTGAAAACTCTTCAATGGGTGACCCATTTACCAAAACTGATATTCTAGATGAGGATAAACCTTCCTTGATCCACCCTACCCATTTTTCTCCAAATCCAAAATTAGACACCATTGAAAACAAGAACTCCCAATTCACCGAGTCATACGCCTTCTCGAAGTCAAGCTCAAATATCACCCATTTTTGCTTTGTTGATTTCCACCACTCAATAACCTCATTGGCAATCAAAACTCCATCTAAAATACACCTTCCTCCAATAAATATTGTATGAACCTCACTAACCAGCCTAGGCAAAACCTTCTTCATTCTCCTAGATAAAACTTTAGCTAGAATTTTGTGCAGTGAACCTGCCAAACTAATTGGCCTGTAATCCACCAAATCTACTGGATTGTCCTTCTTAGGAATTAATGTTATAAATGAACTATTAATCCCTTTAACCAACTTACCTTTGATGTGAAATTCATGCAGGAACTGGAGGATCTCACATCTCTTCACCTCCCAATTCTTCTAAATACAATAAAGATTGAATCCATCAGGCCCTGGAGCTTTATTCCCATCACAGTCCTTCACAGCTGCCCACACTTCTTCCATTGTAAACTCTGCTACTAACTCTCTCTTTGCCTCATCATCCCCAATGGTAAGAAAAGGGCCATCCAGCTTTGGTCTATTTTTTTACACATCATAATACAGTTTTCTAAAATGCTTAACCACTACTTGTTTCACCCTTTCTAGTTCCTCAATAACTTCCCTATTCTCAACAACTGTATCAATTAAATTCTTTCCTTGTCTCCTCTTAACCATCACATGAAAGAATCTAGTATTCTTATCCCCATCGTGAGCCTATTTCACTCTAGATTTCTGTTGCCATATCCATTCTAACCTCTTATTCAGCTTCTATACCAAACTTCTTAACTCTCTTCTTCTATCAATTTTGGTATCTAGAAGTGTCCCATCTTTAGCTTTTAAGTCAATCTCATGGAGCTCCTCCTCTACAGATTTTAGCTGATGCTCAACATTTCCAAAGACCTTTACGTTCCATTTCTTCAATGCCATCTTCAGATTTGCTAATTTTTCTTTCAGCCTAAAGCCAGCCCATCCATAAGTCTCTATCTCTGACCAAGATTTCTTGACCATAGACATAAAATTAGAGTGCAAACTCCTTGCATTTAGGAACCTAAAAGGTCTAGGACCCCAATTTGTTTCATCATCCATCAACACCAATGGACAGTGGTCAGACATACTCCTTGAAAGGCCCCACTGCTTAAGGCTAAACGTTTCTAGCCACAGAGAATCCAATAAAAACCTATCAATTCTACTCCATCTATCACCTTCTACTGAATTACACCATGTGAAGCCCCTCTCTAGTAGTGGCAAATCTACTAGCTCTTGATAAACTCATTACATTTAATCATTCCCTTTTCCCTCCTCAAGCAACCCCTTCTTTCATTCAAAAATCAAATTCATTAAAATCTCTACCAATACACCAAGGTTTGTGAAAAGATGACTTCAGCCTACCCGATACTTCCCATATGAACGATTACACACTCAAATGATTGCTTAAAAATACCTAATAGAAGTAAAAAATCCCGCGTACTGCAGCACTCTGAAATCTTGAAGACACCAGGATTCCGCACACATAGCAAGCCCCTGCATTTCCCACCGAATCCACTGCCAAAAACTACATAGAATCAAAAGGCCACATTGACTTCACAAATATTTCATCAAGATTGGTTTTCTTAGTTTCTTGTAACATCAATATATCCAAATTTTTATCCCTAGCTAGCTTCATAATTTTACCCCTTTTATCTTTCCTCTCCAACCCCCTTACATTCCATGACATAATCTTCATTGGAAAACTTGAAACTACTCCTGAGACCCCCTTGTCACCCATCTCAAACAGGGGTTGCCCTCAGCCCACCCCCTATCTTTTCCTTGTCGTGAACCTTTATTTCCACAATCTGATTCACAGCTTCCTCCTCCTTTCCCTTGCAATTCATCCCCAACAACTTACCCAGCTGAACTATATCATGAACTTCCTTCAGTAACGCATCTTTTCTACTAGGACCACT